CTGAGCTTAATTATGTAAGAGGAGAGGGAAAGGAAGAGGAGAGGAAGAGGAGAGGGAAGAGGAGCGAAGAGGAAATGAAGAGGAGCCGGTGGGGGGGGGGTTTGGGGGGGTCCCTTTAAAAGTAACACTATTACGGGGGTGGATTTAGTTTGGAGGGGGGGGGCCCTCACACTAATCAGGATACCACATTACTTAGTAACCCAATTGTATAGCAAGTGGTTTGGGGTTCGGTGCCTGTAGAGCCCACAGCCCCAACAAAAGCCACGACTCCAAAAAACGCCACCCCCCCCTCAACAAAGGGTTCAGGGTTTAGGGTTTGGGGTTTAGAGTTTAGGGATCCCCTAAACCGCAAACCCAGAACCCCCCATGCCTTAGATCTCTAGACATTGAACGCGAACACCGAAGATCCCTATTCCCAAGCCCATCTTCAAGCGGCGGACCTTCTCCTGGAGCAGGTGGAAAGGACCCGTCATGTCCTGAGATTGAACCGGGTCTACGGTTAAGGCTAAGAGGCTTAGAGTTTGGGACTCAGGGGAAATCCAGATGTGGGGATGTAGGGCGATTAGCGGCTTTGGCATATAGGGCTTTAGCGCAGAGCTCCTGCTTTACAAGGAATCACCTGACGTGCATGCATGCAGTATAACTCAGCCGTGACGCCCAGGGACCGCTAGGGAAAGCCAAGATTTAGAGTCAAAACCGAGGAAGTCTAGAGATTCCGGAAGCCAAATGGCCTTTTAGGGCCCCGCAAAAGAATCTTCAGAACCCGTGACGGTCAGGGACCGCTAGAGAAATCCAAGATGAAAAGCCGGAACCGGAGGAATCTAGGCCCCCTGGTTCTTAGTAACCCTAAACCCTAAACCCTAAACCCTAAACCCTAAACCCTAAACCCTAAATCCCAAACCCCAAACCCTAAACCCCAAACCCTAAACCCTAAACTCTACGAGATGAAGCTCGCCCAGCGCAAGTGCAGCCGGCGGGGCGAGGGCCTCAACGCCATCTTCGGCGACCACGCCGCCCCACCTGGGCCCGGGATGGCCTTTGGGGGTTTGGGGGGTTTTGGGGGGTTTGGGGGGTTTTGGGGGGTTTAGGGGGTTGAGGGGGGTTTTGGGGGGTTTTGGGGGGTTTTGGGGGGTTTTGGGGGGTTTAGGGGGTTTAGGGGGTTTAGGGGGTTTAGGGGGTTTAGGGGGTTTAGGGGGTTTAGGGGGTTTAGGGGGGTTTAGGGGGTGTAGGGCTTACAGTTTAGGGTTTTAGGATTTAGGGTTTAGGGGCTGTAGGGGTTTACAGCGTTTATAGCGTCTAGAGTTCGGGGATCAGGGGTTTCGGGTTTTACTCAGGTGTTGCGCCTTATGTAGGGATTGGTGGGCAACTTAGGTTGAGGCTTTAAACCCTAAACCCTAAACCCTAAACCCTAAACCCTAAACCCTAAACCCTAAACCCTAAACCCTAAACCCAAGGGTTTTAGGGCTATTGTCTGGACCAGACAAAGCCCTAAACCACCAGGTGGGTTTTAGAGCTTAGGGGCCAAACTCTGCTGACAGTTCTGAACCCCTAACCCCTAACCCCTAACCCCTAAACCCTAAACCCTAAACCCTAAACCCTAAACCCGAAACCCGAAACCCTAAACCCTAAACCCTAAACCCCTAACCCCTAAACCGTAGCCACAAGTCCTCAAAGCCGTTTTGGGGTTTTGTTTGGGTTTGAGTTTTTCAAGACTCTACCACACGGGCCTTGATTGCCAGGGGTCCTGTACAGCCTACACCCTAGAAGCTCTAAACCCCAAACCCTCAAGGTTTAGGGTCTAGGGTTTAGGGTTCAGGGTTCAGGGTTTAGGGTTTAGGGTTTAGGGTTTAGGGTTTAGGGTTTAGGGTTTAGGGTTTAGGGTTTAGGGTTTAGGGTTTAGGGTTTAGGGTTTAGGGTTTAGGGTTTAGGGTTTAGGGTTTAGGGTTTAGGGTTTAGGGCTAGACCCTGAAACTCGAAAGCCCTTCACCATGAACTTCTAAACTCGCGCAACTCGAACCTTGCATCCCAGTCACAACGTCTGGTCGCAGTCGCAGACGAAAACTGATTTAGGGTTTAGGGTTTAGGGTTTAGGGTTTAGGGTTTAGGGTTTAGGGTTTAGGGTTTTAGGGCTTTAGAGTTTAGGATTTAGGGTTTAGGGTTTAGGGCTGTAGGGTCTTGGAAGGCTTTAGGGCTGTAGGGTTTTGGGGGTTGTGAGGTTGTAGGGTTTTAGGGTGTTAGGGTTTTCGGGTTAGGGTTTGAGGGTTGTAGGGTTGCAGGGTTTTGAGGCCTTAAGGTTATGAGGTTTCAGGGGCCTCTCATGTGGGGCTTGCATGAGGTTGAGGGTTTTGGGGTGCAGGGTCCGAACGTCGGGTTTGGGGGTGTAGGGTGCAGGGTTTTGGGGCTTCTAGGGTGAAGGGCTTCAGGGTGCTTTGGGCTCAAGGTTTACAATGTTGTGGGTCTGCTAACCCCCTCCCCCAAGCTGAACCCGAAAAACCCTCCAAAAACCCTCCAAAAACCCTCCAAAAGCCCTCCAGACCCTAAAGCCCTCCAAACCCCAAAGCCCTCCAAACTCTGGAGCCCTTGAAACCTTCAACGCCCAAAACCCTTCAAACCCTAGAGAACCATGGAGCCTATCACAAACCCTAAGAGAACCTCCCAGAGCCCTTGCACCTTAGAATCCATGAGGCTTAAATTTCTAGAGACTTGGAACCCTGCACCCCCAGAGCCGTATACTCCTGAACCCCAGAATTAGGGTTTAGGGTGTAGGGATTTAGGGATTTGGGGTTTAGGGATTTAGGGTTTAGGGTTTAGGGTTGAGGGTTTAGGGATTTAGCTGAACCTCAAATCCACCACCTCGAAAGCGCGTCCCAAAACCCTAAACCCTAAACCGTAAACCCCGCGCCTTTCAGTCGCTCCCTGAGTACCAGCCCGCAGGCGCGTCGGACCGCGGCATCCACCAGGGCCCCTGCCAGGTCGTCGGGAATGAAGGGCTTGGGGCTTAAGATGGTTTAGGGTTTGGGGTTTGGGGTTAGGGGTTTGGGTTTTGGGTTTGGGTTTTGGGTTTTGGGGTTTGGGGTTTGGGGCTTGGGGCTTGGGGCTTGGGGCTTGGGGCTTGGGGCTTGGGGCTTGGGGCTTGGGGCTTGGGGCTTGGGGCTTGGGGCTTGGGCTTTGGGCTTTGGGTTTGGGGCTGGGGCTTGGGGCTTGGGGTTGGGCTTGGGGTTGGGGTTTTGGGGTTTGGGGTTTGGGGTTTGGGTTTTTGGGGTTTGGGGTTTGGGGGTTTGGGGTTTGGGGTTTGGGGTTTGGGGTTGACACGGACTTGAAGTCTTGGGGTTTGGGGTGTGGGGTGTGGGGTGTGGGGTGTGGGGTGTGGGGTGTGGGGTTTGGGGTTTGGGGTTTGGGGTTTGGGGTTTGGGGTTTGGGGTTTGGGGTTTGGGGTTTGGGGTAGGGAGGTCAGGGTTTGCAGGGTCGAGGCGTGTAGGGTTTAGGGTGCTTGGGGATTCGGGGCTTTGGTCGTTCGGGAGCCCTAAACCCCTGTAGCCACCTGCTCTGGCCTGGTCGGAGGGCCAGGGCAACACCTCGGCCATTGGCTGCAGGCGCGGTCTCGGATTGAACTTGGATGGCTGCTTAGATGTTAACAACCCTCTGAAAAAAGATTCCTAAACATGACGAACATACGAGAAAAAAACATCCGAAGAAACTCTCTAGTCAAGGTGCTGTACGCAGTTTATTGGGGGCTGCTAGAAGGCTTAGGGGGTTGAGCGTCGCAAGCTCGAGTTCAAACGGTGCGACCTGAAGCTCGCTTCAGGTTAAGACACAGCACTCCCCAAGCACTCTTAGGATGCGGGGGATGAAAGCTTTAAAGGTTAGGGTTTAGGGTTTAGGGCTTAGGGTTTAGGGCTGTTCCTAAACCCTAGTCCCAAAGCCCCAAAGCCCGACGCCCTTGCCAAGCACCTCGCATCCACAGTCTGCGAATCCTCACCTGAGCAGCAGCAAGCAGCATGGCTCAACTACCCTAATGATACGGTAAAACCTGAACTTAAAATCAAAAACCCTGAACCCCAAACCCCAAACCCGAATTATCCAGAAAATCCTAGGACCCCAAATCCCTGGCTCAAAACCCGAAAACCCAATAATAAAGCCCATACCTGAACGTAAGCATTCTGCCCCATCCCAAGCCGACCCGGGTTCACGGACTGCGGAGATTCGGTACACAACAGGGCTCCAATCTCAACCTCCAAGTCCTGTTTGGCGGGTTTAGGGTTTAGGGTTTGGGGTTTAGGGTTTAGGGTTTAGGGTTTAGGGTTTAGGGTTTAGGGTTCTGGGGGTTCTGGGGGTTCTGGGGGTTCTGGGGGTTCTGGGGGTTCTGGGGTCTGGGGCTTCGCTTTTTTTGAAACTGGAGTCACTCTTGTCCGAGCGCGACAGTCAATGTCGTCCAGGGGTAAGGTTTGGGGTTTAGGATTTAGGGTTCAGAGTGCTCTTCCGCTTCTTCTGCTTCTGCTTCTTCTTATTCTTCTTCTTTTTCTTCTTCTCCTTCTTCTTCTTCTTCTTCCTCTTCTTCCGCTTCTTCTTCTCCTCCTTCTCCTCCTTCTTCTCCTGCTTCTTCTTCTTCTTCTCCTTCTTCTGCTTCTTCTTATTCTTCTTCTTCTTGCCAAAGTCAAGCGCTTCGATTTCAGGCTTAGGGCCGCTTAGGGTTTAGGATTTCGGGGTGGGTCTTTTTCTTTTTTGTGGGGGGGGGGGGGGGGGGGGGGTTGGCTTTGCAGCTCGGACCCTGGAATGTGTGCTGAGTCGGTATATGAGTATATGAGGGAACCTGCTGTAGCCCACCCCTGCGCGCCCCGCCGAAAAAACTAAAAACAGAGAGCACCACTAGCATTCAAGCCCGGCCCCTTAAGCCTCCTCACACCGAAACTCTGAGGGCATCTGGGTAGTTGTCCAAAAAGGGGTCCGTTTTTGGGGTCCCCTATACAATACGGCACGTGTATAAGACCCGAAAAAGTGACCCTAGTTTCGAGAACTAGCCATCTGAATGCCCTTTCCTGCCCAGTCGCAACCCAACGCCAGGACAGGGCATTTATGTCCAGCCGAGAGCAAGGCCTTCCCATTTTGGTTTAGTCAGTCGGGTTTAGGAGTCAGTCGGGTTTAGGATTTAGGATTTAGGGTTTAGGGTTGAGGGTTTAGGGATTAGGGTTTAGGGCTCATGCACTCATGCACCCTAAACCCTAAACCCTAAACCCTAAACCCTAAACCCTAAACCCTAAACCCTAAACCCTAAACCCAAAACCCTAAACCCTAAACCCTAAACCCAAAACCCAAAACCCAAAACCCTAAACCCTAAACCCTAAACCCTAAATTAATTTGCCCAAAGCTTCCACTCCTCCTTTCAGAACCCTCGAAGGCCTTTTCCGGAAGCCTGGGACGTCGAGTTTAAAATCGAAAAAACGGGACATAGGGTTTAGGGTTTAGGGTTTAGGGTTTAGGGTTTAGGGTTTAGGGTTTAGGGTTTAGGGTTTAGGGTTTAGGGATTAGGGATTAGGGATTAGGGTTTAGGGTTAGGGTTCTGGGTTTAGATATTTTACAATAACAGAACCAACATAACCTAGTTAGAGTTTCATATGGGGGGAGGGGGTAGGGTTATAATTTTTTCGCAGGGCTTAGGACCCTAAGCCCTGAAACCCAAAACCCTAAACCCTAAATCCTGAACCCTGAACCCTAAACCAGAAACCCTAAACCCTAAACCCTAAACCCTAAACCCTAAACCCTTAGTCTATGTCGCTGCGTTCAGGGCCCCCGTCCCGGCCTGTGCGACTCTCAAGACATCCGCGGATCGATCCGAGGAGGCGCCTAACACTCCCGGGATGTGCGGGTTTAAGCCTGTTAGGGCTTAGGGTTTAGGGTTTAGGGTTTAGGGTTTAGGGTTTAGGGTTTAGGGTTTAGGGTTTAGGGTTTAGGGTTTAGGGCTTCGGGCTTCGGGCTTCGGGTTTAGGGTTCAGGGTTCAGGGTTTAGGGTTTAGGGTTTAAGGTCAGTTTGTTAGGGTTCAAAAGGGTTGAGGGTTTAGGGTTTCGGGGGTTGCTAGGGTGTACAGGGTTTGTAGGGTCCGTCGGGTTTCTAGGGCATATAGGGTTTATGGGGGTTTACATGTGGGAATTAGGGTCTAGGGTTTAGGGTTCGCCAGAGCAATAATCACGACTCCGTGGGGCAACGTGACAGCAAAAGACGGCCCAAACCATGAGCCCTAAAACAGGCGAGGGATTAGGGTGTAAGGGTGAACGGTTTAGGGCTGAAGGGTTTAAGGGTCTAAAGGGTCTAAAGGGTTTAAGGGTTTCAGGGTTTAAGGGTTCAAGGATTTACAGGTTGAAGGGTTTAAGGGCCTAGAGGGTTTACGTGCTTAAGGGTTTCGGGGTTTAGCCTAAATCGTACACCCCCCACAGCAAGATTCCCAACACCAGAGACCAAGCCAAAACCCGAAAATGGGCAGCAAGGCATCCTAGGGGTGCCTATCTCCCTCACTTCTTTCTACAAGGGTAGCTCTCTAAATTAAGGCCCCTTTTGGGGTGCCCTATATAGTACGGCACCCCTCTAAAAGGACCCTAAAAATCCTCATCTAGAGAACTGCCCACATAGGTCGTAGGATGGCCAATTTAACAGTTCCTTCTGGGGAGCCTGTCATAGCAAGCCCCCAGACCCTGAGCCCTAAACCCTAAACCCGAAAAACCCTAAACCCTAAACCCTAAACCCTGAACCCTAAACCCTAAACCCTAAACCCTAAACCCTAAACCCTAAACCCTAAACCCTAAACCCTAGAGGCCCTGGAGCTAATTTCCAGTTGAGGGCTTTTGCTCTTACCCCACCAGGGCCCCACGCCCACAACGAAGATGCCATCGCCAGCTCCGGTCTTCGGTAGCCTGGTGATAGCTCGTAGGGCTTAGGGGCTTGGAGCTTAGGGGTCTAGGGTTTGGGGGTTAGGGTTTGGGGTCTGGGGTTTAGGGTTTAGGGTTTGGGGTTTAGGGTTTAGGGTTTAGGGTTTAGGGTTGAGGGTTGAGGGTTTTAGGGTTTGGGGTTTACGGTTTCTTGGGGTTTAGGGTTTAAGGTCTAGGGTTCGGATTTAGGTTTTTTCGGGGCCCTGGCCGAGCTTTCTTTACGGCAGATCACAGGTCAAATCATGAGCCTTAAACCCGAAACCCGAAACCGAGAAAGGCCCTGAATGAAACCCGAGAAGCCCTTGAAACTCCGAAAAGTCTCTCCGGGGGTCCCTGAGTCCCTAAACCCTAAACCCTGAACCCCGAACATTCAAGCCCGTACAAATTGTTCACGTCTTGTGAGTTTTTGCTTAAAGAAACGTCTTGCGAAAGTTATGGAACTTCCCGAACCCGAACCCTCGAAAACTTCAATAAACCTCAACCCTCAACCCATAAACCCAAAATTCTCAACCCTTAACCCTGAACCCTAATTCCTAAACCCTACACCCTGAAGCCTAAGCACGAATTCCTAAACCCGAGACCCTGAACCCTAACTCCTAAACCCTAAACCCTGAACCCTAAACCTTAATTCCGAAACCCTAAACTCTGAGCCCTAAACACTAAGCCCTTAACCCTAAACTTAACTAACACCTAATTCCTAAACCCTTAACCCTGAACCCTAAACCCTAAACCCTCTGCCAGGCCATGGGCTTCGATTCATCTTCGCCAAACGAGATGGACAGGTGACGGAAGGAAAGCCCTGGCTTGTGCAGGGTTTAAGGTTTAGGGTTTAGGGTTTGGGGTCTAGGGTTTAGGCTTCAGGGTTCAGGGTTTAGGACTTAGATTCTATGGTTCAAGGTTGGGGGGGGGGGGTGTAGAAGTAAGGAGACAAGGTTTTTGGCGGCGCACTTAGTGAAGTGCGGGGCTGCAGTTTTGGTTTGGAGCTTAGGGCTTCGGGGTTTAGGATTTCGGGTTTAGGGGTTTAGGGGTTGAGGGATATCTGACTGACAGTTCGGAAAGAAGAGGGTTGAGACTTCAGGGTTCAGACCAGGGAAACTGCAGAAGACTGTGCACCAAGGGTACGAGCGCGGAAAACCTTGGGCTTTACAATCTATCTTGTCTGGCTCCTTGCTCTTCACTCTCAACCTGCTCTCCAGCCCACTCTTCCTGGAGTTTCCACTCGTCAAAACCGTTCAACTCTTGCTTGCTGATTTAAACCCTAAACCCTAAACCCTAAACCCTAAACCCTAAACCCGAAACCCTAAACCCTAAACCCTAAACCCTAAACCCTAAACCCTAAACACCCTAAAGACCCTAAAGACCCTAAAGACCCGAAACCCCAAATGGCCTACACTCCAGGGACGCAGGAAGGCGCGCCAGCCTTAGGCAAAGTGGTGGGGGTTGAGGATTTTGGGGGAACCATGCACCACAACTGAGTGCTAAACACTACAACGCTGGGGTTTAGGGTGTAGGGTTTAGGGCTTGGGGTTTTAGGTTCAGGGTTCAGGGTCCAGGGTTGAGGGTTCAGGGTTCAGGGTTTAGGGTTTAGGGCTTAGCGCTTAGGGTTTAGGCTGTGTCGTGCTCCGCAAACGTTCCGATGCCACTTCTACTTCAACAAAATCCCAGGAGAGCCCGATACCCCGAACCCTAAACCCTAAATCCTAAACCCTAAGCCCTAAACCCCAAATAAGCAGGAGATTCGAACTGCCCCAAGCCATCTAAGCCCGCAACCTGCGTTCGTGCCCTGGCCCAAGCGCACCACGAAATCTCAAGCACCCCAATCCCTATAAACTGCTTAGGTTGAGGGCTTGGGGTTTGGGGTTTAGGTTGTCGGTTTAAGTGGAGGTCCGGGGCGTGCAAACCAAACAAGCCCCCAAACACGAGCCCTACACAACCCTGTGAACCTAATAAACCCTACCCTATATCCCCTGTACATCCACGATGTCCGTAAAACATCTCTAAACCCTAGACCCCGAACCCTAAATCCTAAACCCTAAACCCTACAAACCCTGATCAAGACCCTCCCCTGCACCGGGCTGCTGACTTTCGGCAGCCGCCTGCACTTCGTCCTGGCGGGGCTCGGCTCGCTAAAACCTAAACCCTAAACTTGGATGGCCTGGACAAGCTCGAGGTATCTTTGTACCTAAGCCTAACCCCTAAACCAAAAACCCTAAACCCTAAACCCTAAACCCTAAACCTCAAAGCAAGCATGGCCCTGGTTTGGATTTTTTGCCGTGTCCTAAGCCTGCTGCTCACAGAGGGTGAGCTCTGCCTTCTCGGCACCGTGGCGAGCGCTGTTTCTTGTGGGTTTGTGCGGTTTTTTGCCGATGTTCCCCTTATACTAACAGTCCTTAGTAGGGATCATATTCGGGGAGGGGGACTCTAAAACCATATTCAGGACTACCGGTACTGCCGGTATAAGGGGGAACATCCCAACCGTAAAACTTAAACCCCAAACCTTGTCCACCTCAACGCAAGCCCTCTGCAGTAGAATCAGTGAAAGCCCTGAACAGGAACCCCCACCCTGCACTGGGGTTTAAGATTGAAGGCATATGTTGTGGGATTTGCTGGGGTTAAGGCTTGGGGTTCAAGGTCTCAGTTGGGGGGTGGGTGACTGGGGTAGGAGCTCTTAAAAACCCTCCGAGCAAAGCTAAAAACCCCAAGCCCTAAACTCTGAGGGCTTAAGGTTTGGGGTTTTCGGTTTAGGGTTTAGGGGTTAGGGTTTAGGGTTCAGGGAGTCTAGGGAACCCTAAACCCAAAACCTAGTACACTCGCTCTCTTGACGGTTCACTTTGTCGCACTTCAGGTTCGGGTCCTCCCCCAGGTCTGTCAGGGCCGTGATCTCCAAACCTTGTAGGATTTAAGGTTTAGGGGCTTCAGGGCACTAAAGAGGGGGCAGCATTATGACTACGGTGAGGGGCTCCGTGATCAAGGTCTCTTTCTTCGAAAAGCAACCCAAAGCCTTTTCAACAAAAGTCAAAGACTATCCCCGAAACCCTATATGCCCTAAACAATTATTTTACTTCGAACATCCCCACCTTAGCGCTCCCGGGTCTCTGAGGTTGGGCACTCCAGGGAGTCTCTTGGGCACTCCAGGGAGTGTTGCAGGGAGACCCTGGATTTGGGCACTTCAGGGAGTCTCGGGCGTGGGCACTTTAGGGGTCTCTGGGGTGGGCACTCCAGGGAGTGTCTGGGGTTGGGCACTCCAAGAGTCTCCCTGCGTTTCTGGGGTTGGGCACTCTCTAGGAGTAGACCGGGCGAGGAGAAGAGTTCCGGGCGAGGAGAATGTGGTGAATAAACCAAGCGAGGCGCATGCAGCAACGGACTCAGACGGAGGTGGTGCCCGATCTCCTAGGACGACTTGGTTTAGGGTTTAGGGTTTGGACGAATCGCGTGCCCTAAGTCTGCTTATTGCTATTAAATTAGTTTGGGGTCAAGGTTTTGAGCCTTCCTTTGCATCCGGGCTTGAGAAGATTCTTTGGGGCTCGTATCGCGGCTGGGCCATCGACAGGGATCTGCCATGAAATGCACCTAGACCCTGACCCTGAAACCCTAAACCCTAAACGCTAAACCCTAAACCCCAAACCCTAAACCAAGTCCGGGTTTTAGGGTTGAAGATGTACCCGGAACTTGAGAGCCCTAATCCTCAGTTTCCGCGGTTTCGAGCTACGACCCCGAACAGGTTGCCAAGGTTGTGTGGTGTAGGGTTTAGGGCTTAGGGTTTAGGGCTTCCTACAAACAGGGTTTTCGGGAATCCCCTTTTCAAGGGGCCCTTGTACCCCAACAGTAGGACCCTCATGTTGAAGTGCTTTTTTTGGGCACCCAGACCTTGAGGGCTTCCGGGGAGGGTTTAGGGCTTAGGGTTTAGGCTGTAGGGTGTGGGTGAGGGTTGAGGATTGAAGGTTGAGGGGGTGTAGCGCTCAGGCCACGTCGGCCCACGGCTCTCCAGCGGTGGACCACTTCCGCCCGGACCTATATGGCCCTGGAACCCTGAAATAGGGTTTAGGGTTTAGGGTTTAGGGTTTCGGGTTTAAGGTTTAGGGGTTTGAAGGCTTTAGGGTTTTAGGGTGTAGGGTGTAGGGTTTAGGGTTTAGGGTTTAGGGTTTAGGGTTTAGAGTTTAGTGTGTAGGGTCTAAGGGGGGCCTTATATAGACCCACAGAGGCCCAAAAAAACCTGATGCTTCAATCCTAAACCCTGCAACTCTAGAGCTCTATACCCCACACCCCAATACCTAAACATGAATGTGTAAACACGATGCCCTAGAATAGGCTCCGAAAACCCCAAGAACATCAGCAGGGGCAGTTCTCTGAAGCAGGGTCCCTTTTGGGGTCCTCATGTTGAGGGTGCCGTACTGTGTAAAGGACCCCAAAAAGGGACAAACTCTAAACCCTAAACCCTAAACCCTAAACCCTAAACCCTAAACCCTAAACCCTAAACCCTAAACCCTAAACCCTAAACCCTAAACCCTAAACCCTAAACCGAATTCAATTATGGTACTACCAAGGGACCCTCTGCGAATCCTACTCCCCGAAAGCCCGCAAGGTCTGGGTGCCCAAAAAAAGCACTTCAACATGAGGGTCCTACTGTTGCGGTACAAGGGCCCCTTAAAAAGGGGATTCCCGAAAACCCTGTTTGTAGGAAACCCTAAACCCTAAACCCTAAACCCTAAGCCCTAAACCCTAAACCCTAAAGTCGAAACCCTAAACCCTAAACCCTAAACCCTAAACCCTATGTTTCTGTGGATGTTTGGGGCCCTCAAGGTCTGCGTACAAGCGTCGCGCGTGGCCGCGCGCCGCGCGCGTGAAGGCAACCTTCGGCTGACCTTCAGAGGGTTCAGGGTTTAGGGTTTAGGGTTTAGGGTTTAGGGTTTAGGGTTTAGGGTTTAGGGTTTAGGGTTTAGGGTTTAGGGTTTATAGGGTTCATATCCGAATCAAGGGACTAAAGGAGAGTTTAGGGTTTATAGGGTTTATGGGGTTTATAGGGTTTATGGGGTTTATAGGGTTTATAGGGTTTACAGGGTTTATAGGGTTTATAGGGCTTATAGGGTTCATAGGGTTTATGGGGTTTATTGGGTTTAAAGGGTTTAAAGGGTATATAGGGTTTAGAGGGTTTGTAGGGTTTTTAGGGTTTATGGGGTTTATTGGGTTTACAGGGTTTAAAGGGTATAGAGGGTTTGTAGGGTTTTTAGGGTTTTTAGGGTTTATAGGGTTTATAGGGTTTATAGGGTGTAGGGTTTAGGGTGTAGGGTGTAGGGTTTAGGCTTAGGGTTTAGGGCTTATGGTTTTGGGGACTTTAGGGAAGGCTTTAGGGACTTTAGGGCTTACAGTTTAGCGGGATGCAACTGTAGGGGCTTCGGGCTTAGGGGATGTTAGGGTTTAGGGACTTTGGGGAGTGAAGGGACTTTGGGGACTTTGGGGACTTTAGGGACTTTAGGGACTTTGGGGACTTTAGGGACTTTAGGGGATTTGGAGGACTTCGGGGCTGCTAGGGTTTGTGGGGACTGTGGGGCTCAGGGGCGTTGAGGAATTGGGATGTCATAAATATCAGGAACCTGGAACCTCAACCTGCACCTTGAGCCCCAAAGCCATACCTGATTAGACCGTAAACCCCGAAGCCTAAACCCTAAGCCGCACTTGAAAATGACTTACGTGGTCGAATCCCTCCCGTGATGCCCCTGTCCGGGACGAGTTGCGTTTCATGAGACCCCCAAAAGAGTGCCAGATTAATCTTTCGAGGTTGGTGGTGCCGCTTTGTCACAAAGCTCGAAGGCCATGGTTCAGGGTTTGGGGTTCAGGGTTGAGGCCTATACCATAAACTCTAAACCCTGAACCCTAAACCCCAAACCCCAAACCCCACACCCCAAACCCTAAACCCTAAACCCAATCCGGGGTTTAGGGCTGGTTTGGGGTGAGGGCTGTGGGGCTTTAACATAAACGGTTTGTAAGATTTGTAGGCTCTAGGGATCCTGAACCCCGAGCCCCCAAACTAGGGTTTAGGGTTCAGGCGGTTCAGGGTTTAGGGTTTAGGGTTTAGGGTTCAGGCTTTAGGGTGTAGGGTTTAGGGTTTAGGGTGCCTCATGCCTGCAAGACTCTAAACCCCCGAAGCCCTAATTAATCATCTAAACCTGAAAACTGAAACCTCAACCCGGATCCCTGATCGGGTTGAGGGCTTATAAGGCTTCGGGTTTAGGGTTTAAGGTTTCGGGTTTTGGGTTTAGGTTTTAGGGTTTCGGGATGAGGGGGTTCACCCCAGGCCGAAAGCCTCGCCTCCCAGCTCGTAAGTCAGCCCCCCGGCGGCTACCAGACTGGCAGCGGTGGGCGCCGACGGCAGCCTGAGAAAGGACTGGGCACAGGGGCGCATGGACTCCGTTCAGAAGCCCTACCTGCACCCCTAAACCCTAAACCCTGAACCTCTATTTTTGTAAGGGAATATGTGAACAAGGACTTCGGGTTTAGGGTTCAGGTTTTAGGGTTTAGGATTCTAGGGTTAGTCCAGAATCTTTAAGACTCCATATGTCGGCCCCTATTCTGGAAGAGGCGCCTACCATTTGCCAAGGTTCGGCAGCTTATCCTTGGACAGCTGTAGTATGCTACAGGGACACTGCATTCCAGACGTTCAAGCTTGAACACCACACACAAATCCTGCATACTAAGCCGACAAGAACCATTGACAACAGGAAACGTGTTCGGGTTAAGAGCAGGTCCAACGTCCTACGGCGCCTAGGCGCTGAAATCTCATGAGCAACCGCGCCAAACCCATGCCACCGCCGAAAGTCTTTGATATAGGCACGACAAGGGGCCAAGCAAAGCCGTATCCGAGCCCACGTCGCCCGGCCCTGTGATCAGGCACACGGCTCTAAACCCTAAACTCCCCTACCCTACGGCCTAGACTTCAGAAACTGGAACTCTTTGGGATGCTCAAGGGGCCTAGGCATGCCTGTTATGCTCAAGAGTCAAGAGGGGGTGAGGAAAGGGTTCAGAGTTCAGGGCTTCAAGCGTCAGAGGGTCTTATCCACTTGGGGCCGAAGAGTTGGGCCCAGGTGTGGGCGAAGCCTTGCCTGGGCATTGTGGAAAGCCAAGACCCTGAAATTCTCAAACCACGATGCAAACCCTGCAAAGGCATCGAGATCGACCCTGCCGAGCCCGAAGCCCTAAGCCCTCTACAGAAAGTCTAAGAGTCTAAGGGCCTAGGGTTTGCGGTTTAGGGTTGAGGCCCTGTAGAGTAAGTCTAAGGTGATGGCATTGGCAGTTCTCCAGGCCCCTGCTTTTAGCACTGGGATCTCTGTCATTGCAACTTGGCCTCGAGGCTGAGCACAGCAGGGCTTCTTGGATTGTAGGGCTTAGGATCTAACCCTTAGGCTCAAAATAGCCCCACAACCCTTACATAGGAAGGCCTTTGGGCACAAAAACCCTAAAACAAAGTTTTTAGAGCCTTAGGGTCTCAGGTTTAGGGTTTACAGTGCTCTGGCGCTTGTATCAGAAGGCTTTCTACTGGCTATGCGTCAATAGCCGGACATGGATCCACCACCTATCCCCCATCCTTAGGGTTTAGGGTTTAGGGTTTAGGTTGTAGGGTTTAGGGTTTAGGGGCAATATTGACCCAAATTAATCGAGAAACTAGTACCAATCATCAGAGGGCAGCATCCTTTCTCCAAGGTGTTGCATACTGGATGCCAGCCCCATCCGAAGCTGCTTAGCAGCGGGGGCAGAAAACACTCGTAACCTCGAAGTGCACTCGAACAGACTCGAACATCGGAGGTTTGCTTTCAAGAGGGGCCAAGATGGCAGCTCTTCTGCATGGAAGTACAAGTACTCGCTGTCTACCGGCGCTGGCATGGGGGGGCATCGTACTCGCGGCCGCAACAGGACCATCGGGCTTTCTCGCCCAGTGTCTCAAACACCCGGCACAGCGGCTCCCTCCACCCCGTAGCGAACTCATCGTAGCCCCACCCACGTCCTTTTCTACGAAAGCGAGGTGATCCATCATCTGCGCGGGAGATTCCATTTGGATAGGGAAAAACCCTGCCGGGGTGCCAGAAGCAAGGTGAGGATACTTGGCCTTCCTGCATCGGCTCCTCACCCGCTTGCCTTTCCGGAGCCGTGTCCGGCCTGGCTTGCAGAGCTTTCACCTGCGTCGGTGGAAGGGAAACAAGGACACCGTCTCTCGCCGGGCTACTGTTTCAGGTCTAGGTAGCCAAACGATCTGGCATCCCAAAACTGCGAATTGAAGAAACTCCCAAACCTTCTCCCGGAGGTCGTCCAACTCCTCAAACCTGGGCAGTTATGTCATCTCCGGCAGTACCCCCAAGTCCCGACAACGGCTCGGGGCCAAATCTGTTCCTACCCCAAACCCCAAACCCTAAACCCTGAACCTCAAACCCCAAACCCTAAACCCCAAAGGAGTGCAGAGGAAGGTTCGTGGGAACTGACAGCAAGAACTGAAAATCATCGCAGCTCGGGGCTTGTAAGGCAAGCCTGTTTAGGACTTCGAGCCTGAAGAGCAGATAAGGTATATCAGCTTCATAGGGTTTAGGGTTTAGGGCAAATAGGGTTTATGGCTTGGGGTATAGGGTTTAGGGCTTATGGGGTTTTAGACTTTAGGGCTTAGGGCTTCTGAAGGGTTTAGGTTTACGGTTTAGGTTTTTCTGGGCTAGTGCGCGGGCAGAATGATGTCAGCAAACGTTGAGGACCTGCACCCTGGTTTGACCTTACTGCTACTGCTGTTGCTACTCCTATAACAACATCAACATCATCAACAGCAGCGACAAGAGACAACGCCAACGCCACCAACACCAACCCGACGAGGTGTTAAACGCCGATGTTGACTATTGTCGTCTTCAGCGTCTTGTTTTTGTTACTTGTGATTTGTTTTGTGGTTGTTTTGGGGTTGTTTGACCAAGAACCACCCCAAACCCACTCCTTGGACGTTTGCCAACACCTATTTGGCGGCACGTGCGTTTTACTGGAGAAAACGCAAGTTTTTCCAAGGTTTGGAAAGGGGGATTTGTTGTGTTGAAAGTAGGAAGCTGAGTACGGGAGAGTTTGGGAGAGTTTGCCTGGAGAAGGAGCAAGCACAACAGAGGACAGCCGACTGCATTTTGCTCGAAAACAAACCGAAGTTTTTTGGGATTTCAGGTTGAGGGAATAGTCACATCACCTGTGCTGGTGTATGCCGGGTATCTTCTGAGACTCGGCCCAGATTTGTTTTTTTTGGGCTCTCAAAAGGGTTCGGGACAAGTTGAAGCACAGACAGGCCCTTGATTTTGTGGTCTCGCTGGCACAGAGAAAAAAGTGCAGAGCAAAAGTGCAGAGACTCTCTTCAAGTCGCTGCTTGCTTTGGGGAGATTTTCTTGTATTTTGTTGGTGCAGTACCCCAATAAGCCACTGGCTGCGTCCAAGCTGTTCAAGGTTCAAAAAGGCAGGCTCTGCCGACATCTCTTTTGCTTCTCACACACTTTTCGGGTTCTGCGACTGCCGCGCAGAAGCAGTTTCTTGCTGGATTCGATCCCCAGACGGCCAGCATGCACAGCAGTCAGAACCCAAAAAAACGCAGGCAAACGCCCAGCCCTGAACCAATTTTCTGCATGCTCTGTGTCTTTCCCGAGAAGCAGAGTCAACACAGCTGCCATGTGCTGTCCCACATTCGTTTCCAGGTGTGCCACCATGGCATCCAGCCGGACGCGCTCTCCGCAAAGCCGGCACTTCTTGAAGTTGGCCTCGCACCTTGCGGTTGAGGGTTTAGGGGTTTAGGGGTTTACGGGTTTAGGGGTTTACGGGTTTAGGGGTTTAGGGGTTTAGGGGTTTAGGGGTTTCGGGGTTTCGGGGTTTAGGGGTTTAGGGGTTTAGGGGTTTAGGGGTTTAGGGGTTTAGGGGTTTACGGGTTTACGGGTTTAGGGGTTTAGGGGTTAGGGGTTTAGGGGTTTAGGGGTGTAGGGGTTTAGGGGTTTAGGGGTTTAGGGTTGGGGGTTTAGGGGTTTAGTTTAGGGGTTTAGGGGGTTAGGGGTTTAGGGGTTTTTAGGGGTTTAGGGGTTTAGGGTTTAGGGGTTTAGGGGTTTAGGGGTTTAGGGGTTTAGGGGTTTAGGGGTTTAGGGGTTTAGGGGTTTAGGGGTTTAGGGGTTTAGGGGTTTAGGGGTTTAGGGGTTTAGGTGTTTAGGGGTTTAGGGGTTTAGGGGTTTAGGGGTTTAGGGGTTTAGGGGTTTAGGGGTTTAGGGGTTTAGGGGTTTGGGGGTTTAGGTACGTAGGGGTTTAGGTAGGGGTTTAGGTAGGGGGTTTTGGTAGGGGTTTACGTAGGGGTTTAGGTAGGGGTTTAGGTAGGGGTTTATGTAGGGGTTTAGGTAGGGGTTTAGGTAGGGGTTTTGGGGCTTAGGGGCTTAGGGGTTTAGGGGTTTAGGGGTTTAGGGGTTTAGGGGTTTAGGGGTTTAGGGGTTTAGGGGTTTAGGGGTTTAGGGTTTAGGAGTTTAGGAGTTTAGGAGTTTAGGGGTTTAGGGGTTTAGGAGTTTAGGGTTTGGGGTTCAGGGCGCCAAATGCACCTGCCCGCCCTCATGCAGTAAAGAAACAAATGTACCAAGCACCACAGGACTTGCTGATATTAGAATACTTAATTATATACAGGTCCAAGTCGTCGTCGAAATAAACAAAGAAAATATCACCCAAAAAGACAACAGTAAATTCAATTCAAAACCTTTTTTTGTAATGCAATAAACATTTATGAAGACAAGAATTTTTCAACAGTGTCCACTCGCACAAAAAGTCAAAACGCATCAATAAAAGTATTTTTGTCTAGTGGCAAATGTAAGGTCAATGATTCACATAATTTATGGTATCACTGCACATGCACGACTCAACATACCTAAAATTAATATCAGGACTTTCGGTTAATACATCACCTTCGATACGACTACGTAATTCTTTATCATGCTTTGATTCTTCTTTATCATCTTCATCTTTTCCTTAAACGAAACTCTTCTAAACGCTGAGGGGCCACGGCCACACCTAGCGAATATGTAGATGGACGCAAAGACGACTGCTTGTCAGTCTGGTTTATGTAGCGACATGGTTCTGTTTTATGCCATCTGAGGCCTTGCCTCCCTCGAAGACAAAACTTAAAACGTCGATCCAAGCGTGCACAATGCATAGGCAAAAACAACTCATGATCTAGGATTACCTTCAAAAACCCTCTCGAAAAAAATCAATAAGGCAAATATGGCATATCCCAAGGGCCTACCTATTACTCCGACGAGGAGCTCAGATGTCTGGTGCTTCTCCAATTCACGTGCGACCACTGAGGCATTGCCTGGGCTGCTTGTTTAGAAATTCTACCACCACCACAACAGCACCTCCACGATCACTGCTAATCATGGGCGATGCTGTGCAGTTACTGGCGCAACGCTGCTACACTGCATGTTGCCTCGAAGCTGAGGATACGGATGGATTGTCTTAAAAGACTTCGGGGAGCAGCTGATATAGCCCAAGGCCTTCTATCAACCCATAAGAGTCCAGCACAGGGAGGCGACACACCCTATATGCCTCGTATACGTTCCCTGTATACCCTGCATACCCCGCGTGCCCTACATGCATTGGCCCTGCATACCCCAGCTACCCCATCTAGCAAAAGCAAACCTCCAGAAAACGCCCAGTGTCAGTTGCTGCAAAAGACTTTTCGTTCGCTGCAGGCCTGTCACATGGACATCAGGCTTTAGGGCTTTAGGGTTTAGGGTTTGGGGTTTAGGCTTTGGGGTTAAGGGTCTAGGTTTGGGGTTTAGGGTTTAGGCTTTAGGGTTTAGGGTTTGGGGTTTGGGGTTTGGGGTTCGGACACCCAGGCACCATTTTGCCAGTTCTCTAGATGGTGGCTTTGTTTAGGGTACCCAAGAATTTGCACATCGCTGTATGGAAACAATCCAGCATCGCAGCCGACCCTTGAAAGGCTTGTGGGGCTTGCCCTAAACCCTCAATCCTTCATGTGCCCGAGCCCTTAAAGCCCCCCACAAGCCCTCAATCCCGAAACCGCAGGCCAAAACCCAACGACCCTTTCGCTGGCCTCGGCCAGGTGCTGGTCCTTGCGGCAGAGGCTGACAACAGAGCCGCAGCCCAAGGGGCACTTGAGCTCGAGGTTCCTCCGCGCGTGCAGGCACTCTTTTCTTACCAACTGCTTCGGGCCCTTCGGCGCCAGCTCTGCCAGGATCTTGCAGTTTTTGTCAAATGGTGGTTGGGGTCAACAAGGCGTTCTGGTTTGTGCACCAGAGCCAGCCATAAAGTCAAAACTGCGAAGTGCTTCGGGAGGACCCAGCAACTTCGCCCGGCCGGACCTGAAACCCCCCGGTGCTACCAAGTTAGGAACATGAATCTTGGGCACCTGAAGACTCAAGTTTGCTTTAGGGTTTATAGGGCTTGGGGTTTTGGGTTTTGTGTTTGGGGTTTAGGGTTTAGGGTTTGGGGATTAGGGATTTGGGTTTAGGGCTTTTATACGGTTTAGGGCTTCGCAGTAGTCTCAGCACGGTGGCTGTTATCCTATTTGCACCGGTGATGACGCCGACTGTCGCTGCCGAGCTTCCTGATCGCTTTGCGATCCTTGTTGGCCGGATCTGCGCCAGTCGACGCTTCGCGGCAGTGTGGGCACTTCTTCTCACGCTGCTGGCATCTTGCCTGCACCCCAAAGCCCTGCAAGAAGCAGCCCCCCCATAAGACGCGCACTATCAGCTACAAATTCTGCTGCTAAACTATATTTGCCGAAGAACCCCCCAATGAGCGCAATGTCCTTGCTTATACGGGCGTCTTTGTTTCTTTGGGGGTCTTTAGCAAAATAGTAGTATAAGCTTGAAGTTTAGTCACCTTTTGCCACACAACCCGTCCGACGTCTGCTTCAACCGTGTCAAAACTTTCTGCTAAGGTGTAGGGCTAGAATTGAGAGCGTTTAAACCTGAACCCTAAACTCATTTAGTATGTCTATCTATATATATATATATATATCCGGAACAGAAAGCTTGTCCCAAACCATTGCCCTTCCCTAAACCCTCAACCAGCCCCCTTAGCTTCAAAAAACATGAGCCCTCAATCCCCAACCCTAGCCCAGGAGCCCAGCAGGTCTCACAGAAGAGCTCTCCACAACAACTTGGCGCCACGGCGTCGCGCGCGACGCAGTGGCAAATCCTGAGTGTTCCTAGGGTTGGGTTTAGGGTTAGAGCTAGGATTGGGTGTAGAGTTTAAAGTTTCGGGTTTAAGGCAAGTTTAAGGGCGAAGGGCGTTTGAGGCTTCAGGGGTTTAGGGTTGGGGGTTTTGTATTTCATGCTTTCGGGGGCTTGAGGGCTTTAGCGGCTTGGAGCTTTAGGGTCCAGTGCTGAGAGGTGAACCTGAAACCCCTAAACTTTTGCACCCTAAACCCGAAACCCTAGACCCTATAGGGTTTAGGGTGTAGGGTTTAGGGTTTAGGGTTTAGGGTTTAGGGTTTATGGTTGAGGCCTTAGGGGTTTTTTGCGGTTTTACGGGGGGTGTCAGACGGGAACGCCAGTCAAGGCGAGGAAGGGATTCACCTTCCACAGCATTGCCAGTGAATCGAACCCTACCAAAGCCCTGAAGCTCACCCTAAACCCTAAACCCTAAACCCTAAACCCTAAACCCGAAACCCGAAACCCTAAACCCTAAACCCTAAACCCTAAACCCTAAACCTCTCTATCATAATGAATTTAAACCCTAATTCAAAAGTGGGCAACGGTGACTTTTGGGCTTCAAAAGTGTGCAATGGTGATTTTCCTTTTCCCCCGAGTTTTTCAAGGTTTTTCAAGGTTTTTCAGCGTTTTTCAATGTTTTTCAAGGTTTTTCACTGTTTTTCAGGATATTTCAGGGTTTTCACAGCCTAGTTTTGGTCAAAGGGGGGTCGTATTTTTCAATTTTAAAGGCAAAATAGTCTTCGGAGACCCTCCTTGCCTCAAACTCCGACCCCCCTTGAAAGGGAAAGTTTGCCTCTAAAAACACACCAAATGAGACCCCAGGATTGGCCCGGGTCCCAGTTAAAAATGCTATTTTTTAGTACTGAAATCGACGGTTCTGGGTGGCCTCTCGTTTTCTGGATTTTTGACCAAACCGAGCCTTCACCGGTTTCAGAAATTTCAATCAAGTTTTTCAAGGTTTTTCAAGGTTTTTCAGAATTTTTCAGTGTTTTTAAGGTTTTTCAATGTTTTTCCGGGTGTTTCAGGGTTTTTTCCTTCAGTTCTGATGAAGGACTGCCCCCGCGACCTTTTCACGGCCTAGTTTTGGTCAAAAAGGGGGGGTCGTATTTTTGAATTTTAAAGGCAAAATAGTCTTCGGAGACCCCCCTTGCCTCAACCTCCGACCCCCCTTGAAAGGGAAAGTTTGCTTCCAAAAACACAGCAAATGAGGGGGACCCCAGGATCGCCCCGGGTCCTAGTCAAAATGCGATTTTTTTAGTACTGAAATCGACGGTTCTGGGTGGGCTCTCGTTTTCTGGATTTTTAACCAAAACCGAGCCTTCACCGATAGGGGCTTCTAAACCGTAGGGTTAAGAGCATAAAGGGCCTATTGTGGGCCTTAGATTAGATTTCGGGTTTTGGGTCCGTTAAACACTAAAATATTTTTCTAATGTTATGGGATCCAAAGGGTGGGTGGGTATATATTCGATATCAGAGTAGCGAGCGTGAATGCTTGAACTGGAGATGCTGAACCCTAAACCCTAAACCCTAAACCCTAAACCCTAAACCCTAAACCCTAAACTCCGAGCCGAGCATCATGCAGCCCCATTTGGCCGCCTCCTCTGCGTTTTCCCATGCCTCGTCGTGTCCGTCATCACGGCGCTGCGAGGTTGGGGGGGCCTGAGTCAGCCCTACACGGAGCCGCAAGGTAGAGTGCTACAACCCTAGACCCTAAAGCCTAAACCCTAAACCCTAAACCCTAAACCCTAAACCCTAAACCCTAAACCCTAAACCCTAAACCTAAACCCTAAACCCTAAACCCTAAACCCTAAACCCTAAACCCTAAACCCTAAACCAAACCCTTTTTCTGTTTAAATGGGCTTAGAAGGGTCCCCTGACCCCGCAAAAAAAGGGAATATGGGCCGCTCGGGGTCCCACAAATAGGGGCAGTGTCGTATACCGTACACAGCACCGTGCTGCGAGGGTGCACGTCCTATGTATATTACTACGTTGAGCCGCTTGTCCAACACAAAAACTCCGAAAAAGAGTTTACTTGTAAACCCTAAGCACTGCAACCTGTACCAAGCTCTAAGCTGAGACCCTCAGAAGCAAGCCAAAGTGCCCCCGGGGTCCTATAACTAGATCCCAGAGTATAGTAGCCTGGGAACAAAGAGAGAGAAAGAGAGAGAGAGAGAGAAAGCGAGAGCGAGAGCGAGAGCGAGAGAGAGAGAGAGAGCGAGAGCGCGAGCGAGAGCGAGAGAGAGAGAGAGAGAGAGAAAAAAAAAAGAAAAAAGCGAGAGCGAGAGCGAGAGCGAGAGAGAGAGAGAGAGCGAGCGAGAGAGAGAGAGAGAGAGTGTCTGTGTGTGTGTGTACCCTTTGCTATTTTATGCGGGAACCGAAC